TTTTATTTTATATATTTATTTAAAAATCTTTATGACAAGTCCTTATTTAACGTACTAAAAAATTCTATCCAAAATACTATTTAAATGCTGTTTAAATTATTTTACGTATTATATAATTGAAGGATTGACTTTTTTCACACTTCCATACATATATTGAATTGATATTTGAAATAGCGAAGCCTTATATATTTTTGATTTTCATGAAGAATCATTCTCGTGTCTAAGTCTCGCGAATTTCTCATAGTGACGTAAATACGTCGTTGTTACCTTCAGCAAACATGTCTACCGTACAGATAACAATCGCAATTGTACACATAAAATGGGATTAATTTCAAGCTTTTATCTACGTGCGTCAATGCTATGAAGACAAGCGAATATCTCGTGTCAAGCAATCATGATAGTGATAATACACAATAGATAATATAAAATAATTAATTTTTTATTTATCTCAGAGAGAAAAAGATAACAAGAAAGGGGTGAGGAAGGGAGGGAAAGAAAGAGTAATTACTTCTATATACGCTTTACAATGTTTGCGTATTTTTCGACACAAATTACAAATAAACACGGATTATCATAGCGTGATTAAAAGATACAAAATACTTAAATACGAAATATATCGGCAAATAAATATATCGATAAATACATTGATGAAAATGATTGTAATCGTATTTCTTATAATGCTTTTGGTGATAATTTTCAGTGCTATTCCATTGATATATAGCTCGACAGAATATTACTCTTGAAAAAATGCAATTTTTTTCAGTAGCAATTTTCTATCAATGTGTCGTCAATATCTCTCTTCGAATTCTACGCAAAAAGCAATACCAAAAAAATGCATGAAGAACGCATGCACGCGAGATACGCCAGATATTCTATGTGATTTGTCGCTACACTAAAGAGATTTGTTTCATACTGCCGTTCCGTCGGCTTTAATCCTGAACAAATTTGTTCCTTCAACTGAATTCGACTTCATTCATTATTAAGTCCTTTCCGCACTCCATTCACAATACCGTCGATAAGATTCCGAATTTATATATTTTAAAAACCGATTCTTTCTTGCGTATCTATTAATCCGCGTTATCCAAACGAGAACAGTATAGTCAGATCGATTATCGTTATCAATCGCTTTAGGAATTATCAAAATCATATCAATGAACGAAATGTCATCGATAATTAACGAGTCGTTGATTTACCAGCCAGAAGCAATTCGGTCGTCGACGCTGCTTTGTACCAATTCACGATTAAACCTCTGTGAAGATATATAGTTCACATATTATATTATACGTATATGTGAAAAATTATGTGCATTTTGCGCGAATTAAAGAATGCATATTTGAAACGTGAACAAAAGCGGCACATAAATCGCGAAAAGTGAAATAGCTTTAGACCACATGTTCCGTTAAATCCTGTCCCTTTACCGTTGTCTGCCGTTTTCAAAATAAAGAGGAGAGATTTAGCAAGCCATGGCAAAAACCTCACGCTTAATCAATGTATTTAAAATGTGTACTTTATTTAAATGACAATAGAGATTAAAAAATGGCAAATGCTTTATGTATTTTCTTCGTTTTAACTTAAGAATGTCTCTTCATTAAAGTAGGATTTGCAGATGTGTCTCAATATTATTTTGCTACTACTATTCTAAAAATAAGCTTTGTATTGTACATTAATTATTAGTGAAGACGTCGGATTTATGATTCGCGATGCCATCTATTTCTTTTTGTTATTAAAATATAAAATATTTCTACATAAAAAGAAAATATATAAATCTTTATTTTATTTATTATTTAAATTTAAATAAATAAATTATTTATTATTTATTTATTATTCAAATCTTTATTTATTTATTATTTGGGATTTAATTTTATTTGCAATGTATTTAGAATATTAATAATATTTGTATTGTACACAAATTTTCAACAATTTTTATTTATTACTAATTATATAAATGTATATAAATCATTTTTAAATTTTTTGCTAAACCTGATAAGATCATTGCTGTGATTGATGTAGCTTTTTTATGTTTTTATTGACAGATTAATGAACATGAAATAAGTAAAATGTATCTATGATAGTGGGAAAAACAATTAATTATTAAAATAAAATAATTAATTATTAAAAGAGATAACGAAGATGAGAAGATGACACCGAAAGTAATCGCATCCTGAATAAGCGCGATATTTCTACATCGCCTTTTGCTCGCTTACCCAGCACAAGTAGAATGAGGTCAGATATGGCCAGACTGAAAAGATAGTAATTGGTGGCAGTCTGCATAGACGCGTTTCGGACGATGACCGTGCACGTGGCGACGTTACCGAAAACGCCAGAGACAAAGATCAGCAGGTAGGCGATCGTAAGCGGTATCACCAACCTCTGAGGCAAGTACCTAGGTCCCAGCACTTTATTTAGGTACTCGATCTCAGTCAGGTTGTCCAGATCCCAATCCCGCCAGAAATCGAGCGTCTCGTTTTCGTCCTCCCCCAATGTCCCCATGACGAAGGATCCACTCGATGAATATCACACGTTCGTTCGGTTCATCGTGATGACAGCGTAACGATATTTCCTTTCGCGTATACACGTTCTGATATCATGTCTTGAGATATATCGCGCGCGCAGACAAAGAAAACACACCGATTCGCGTTTTTGATAAACCCGCGTCGAGTCAATAAACCTTTTTTTATTGCTGGATTTTAATGGGTCACCCACTTGCGACGAGTGAGCTCGAATTTTCTTCTCGCACAATTTTTCTGGACTGGTGAAAGGAAATCACGAGTGGGACAGTAATTATTCGTACGTCCTCTCTCTCTCTCTCTCTCTCTCTCTCTCTCTCTCTCTCTTTCTTAATTCTCTAGTCGGATTTTGAGGTAGCATGTGCCGAAAGTAATTCCCATTTTTTGAATGTTTGAATTTCTCAATGAATACGTTCTTATTGGTCCTTCGAGGGCAATTTCTCGAAATGGCAAATTGGATAAAATGCCAGAAGAAAAATAATAGAAGTACGGGTCTGTGTTCGTTTCTTGCTGTCCGACCGAAACGAACGTTCCTCGTAAAGATGCTTTCGTTTGTAATAAGAATACAATAAATCGATTGCCGATTTTAAAGTATTGCAGAAATATTATAATTATAATTTAATAAAAGTTATAATTTTTAATTAGATTATAATTAGAATTGTAACTAAAAGTATCCGTAGAGGGATGACGCGCACATTTATTTGCCCTTTAAAAGTTTGCACAGCGATTTAATCTTCAAACAAACATCATTACACATAACTGTCAAATCGACGTATACAGTTTTGTAATTCTTGCTTCTTGTTCTTGTATTTTCGCGCACTCAAATTCTTCAGCGATCGTAAAATCTGCAGTAATCGAAAAGCCCGTAATTGCAATATTCGAATTTTATCCTTTTGATTGCTATAATTTAGGCGTGTTTGAAAAACGTACTGTTTACAGATAGTCTGTCACTCGCAAGACAATATCGTCGACTGCTCGAAAAGCATACGAATGTTTGTAATTTCATAAGAAACGTGTATAGTTAAGGATTATACAAGGTGACTCTCTAACGTGCTATTTTGACCTGCCAGTTGACGCCGTCAAATCGATATACCAAAGATGTCAATCACGTGAGGAAGAAAATGTTAAATCAACAAACCGTCATCCGCGATAGAATGTCGCGTATGAACTGAATTCTCGATCACACCACAGACACATGTTGATTACTCCATCCGTTGATTCTGCTGATAGGAAATCTTTTTTTAATGTAACACCGTGTTGCCAGATTGCGCGGAGTAATGAAATCTTTTTCTCGAGATCATTAAAACAATGCGAAAAAGAAAACTCACAGAAAATTTTGCATCATTGACAGTAACGTTATCGATTCGATCGTCGTTTCGAGAACAAAATTTAGAAGAAATTAATATAAAAATGATGTGTGTTGAGAAAAAATTTCTCTACAAAAACACGTGAACTTCATAAAACAGGTATTATTATCATTAATTTTTTTTTTTTTTTTTGACACGGAAAATTTTTCTTAGAACATTGTTTTTATTCAATCGCTATTTCAATATTAACTTCTTAAATTTTTCTGGAGAATTCGTTAACAAGAAAAAATTTCCATGAGATTTTCTTCAATAAGATATTATTTTACTAAACGATTATCTCAAAATCTTCTTGAAGCTATTTTCGCGAAAGTTTACGAGCAATATACATAAAATAAGCATCTTAGGACAAATTTCCTTAGGTTTATTCAAATTGCTGTTAAGCATGATAAAGTTTTAATCCGATAATTTAACTATGCAGGAAGTTGCTATTATAAATTTTTTAACATACTTGACAACTATATAGATATGCTTTTTTTCCGCCCTAATTGTAAAAGATTGTCATTACCGACACGGTTAACGAGTTGATATATATTTACATATTATATTCTTTTTATTCATAAATCATCTTTTTGATATTGAAAAAATACATTGTCTAATATATGACAATTATTTATTGCATCTTATTTAAATCATATTATACATTTCTTTGAAAAATTGTTATAGCGGCAATAGAGAGAGAAAGAAAGAGAGAGAGATATATATATACATTGATATATAAAACTTATTTTAAAATACATCAAAAATTATATATATACGTGTGTGTGTGTGTATTGAAGAAAAGAGTGGTGTCTGTAAAAAAATGTAAGCTTATTTCATGCTTGTCATATCAAATAAACTTTCACGATAAATGCTTAACTACCATGATGTACCGCTTGCTGTGACATGCGATATTATGTGCTTTTTCTCCTTTAAAATACATTTGAAAAATTGTTTAAACCGTGATTTTCTGATGAAAAATTCTACTTTTAATTTAAATGAAAAATATAATAGGAAATAAACTATTACTCAATATAAGTATAATATTATAAAAAAAATATAAAGTAAATTGAATTCATATATATGTACATATAAACTAGATGCAGATAAGTGATTTTTTTGCCGTGACGGTGAAAAAATCATGTTAACATGAATAGACAGTATACATATAAATATACGAATGCGTAATATAAGTATGCGTATGTATACGTACGTGTATATGTGCTGCAAAATAACGTGCGTGCAGGCGCAAGTACGCGCTCGATAGTCTATCCGTTATAACGTATATTGAATTATCATTGTAAATATATACCAAAAAAATTTTTTATTTTCGCATATATTAACATTTTTACGCTGTTTTTTATTTTGTAGCATGTTTTTTTAGAAATTAAACAATTTTAATGAAGATATCCAGGTAACACATGTTGATTTTATATAAACGTTTCCTAAACATAATTTTTTATACCATCATAAACAATATGAATGAATTTTTGTCTCAATTAAAATGTTTTGGAAACCATAGTTTAAGAAAGATATTTTTTACGTTTCTACAGAGATAAGAAAAATTTAGTTTTTAAATTTAAAATTAATATAAATAATAAAAAGATTGCTCATAAATACATATAATATAGAAATTGTGTAAAGAAAAACAGAGAAATATAAAACGAATAAAATTACCGATTCGTAAAATAAAGTATAAGATAAACAAGTTTGAGCGAGATTTAAAAAAGATATCACGCGTAGCTAACAAAATATACAACTAAATCTATAAACGCGCAGGAAATATGTTCATAATAAACCTAAAAATTTACATATATACGAACATGTACCAACCGGTGATTTTTACCGGCAGTAAAATGAAGATGGCTAGGTAATTCTATGTAGCCTCTAAAATGGTTAGAGATGGCGGTACTTGACGGTTCCTCCTTTGTATTTAATAAAAAAAAAAAAAAAAAATATCTACTATAAAAGTATCTATTAAATATCGATGATTAAAATTTAATCAATCAGAACAAACAAATTTCAGCTCCTTTGTTTTGTAGTGTATTAGAAAAATTCTAATCTTTAATCTTCAATTACGTCAATCTTCGACATGTAGTTTTTTTAGATTCAGGACCTTTTAGATATGAATAATGCTATAGTTTTACTGGTAATTGCTGTAGTTTCTGCATTAGAAACTGTGTCCAGAGGAGGATAGACGGAGAAACATACTTATTTCTGCCAGAAATACATTGTGCATGTCAGTTTAGGCACATGCACAAGCATATAATATCGCGAATACGTCATTTATGTGGAAGTGTTGAATAGATAACACCTTTAATACCTAAGGCTTCTAAATTATTTCTGTACTTTTTTCTAAATAAAAAAAGATAAATGCGATTATATACTTGTATATATCTATATTAATTTAGATAGATTTTTTGACAAATATATATTTCTGCAAAACATAAATTATATTGAATTATGGAAAATAAATATTCAAGACAAGAAAATATATATCTCATGTTAATTAAATTTTCAAGTAAATTAATATCATTTCCGTAATAATTGCAATACTCATGTATTTATTTAACATGATTATTGTTTAAGCAATAAATATCACTTGCAATTTCATATTCTAGTTTTTTTTACATGTGTCAGATAATTAATTTGTCTAATCAATACTCTCATCTCATATATTTCATGAATTTTTATTCACATCTATTTATCATAAGTATAAAATTGCGTATTTGACAGACGAATATAAATATATAAGAAGTCTCCGAAAATACAAAACTTAATAGCATTGAAGTCTAGAGGTCTGTGTAATAATCAAGAAATAGTGCGTGACGACGGATTCATATGATAATAATTTATTCAAATATGGTAGAGCGGTCGCGCTCTCAGCACAATTATACACTGGATAAGGGCGCGCGTATAAATTAATTGAAAACAAACGGAAATACATTCAAAAATAAAAAACTCTGAATTGTTGCACTAAGTGCGATAAAGGTAATTGAAAACGCGCGCACTTCGCAAAAATTCGAAATAGAAATCCGTAAAAAAAGATACAAAAGAGAAATAACGAGGTAAGAAGCATGGGTGAAGGGCTGTGTTGCGTTATCGCTTGATCGATTGAGAAGAGAGATTAGGGAGAGGGCGAGAGAGTATCGCTGCGAGATAACGTCATCTTCTCTTAGTTCTCATCGACTTCGGCTTCCTGCTCTTCATCGAACTCGGCGTCCTCGTCCGCGGTAGCCTCCTGATACTGCTGATACTCAGATACCAAATCATTCATGTTCGATTCGGCTTCGGTGAATTCCATCTCGTCCATGCCCTCGCCAGTGTACCAGTGAAGGAAAGCCTTTCTTCTGAACATAGCGGTAAACTGTTCGGAGATGCGCTTGAACAGTTCCTGGATGGCGGTAGAATTGCCAATAAATGTGGCAGACATCTTGAGACCGCGTGGTGGGATGTCACAGACAGCAGTCTTGACATTATTCGGGATCCATTCGACAAAGTATGAGCTGTTCTTGTTCTGGATGTTGAGCATCTGCTCATCGACCTCTTTCATCGACATCCTACCACGGAAAATAGCAGCAACTGTGAGATATCTGCCATGTCTAGGGTCGCACGCGGCCATCATGTTCTTGGCGTCGAACATCTGTTGAGTGAGTTCCGGTACGGAGAGTGCTCTGTACTGTTGGCTACCGCGAGACGTGAGGGGCGCGAAGCCGGGCATGAAGAAATGAAGACGGGGGAAGGGTACCATGTTTACGGCGAGTTTCCTAAGATCAGCGTTCAGCTGACCAGGGAACCTCAGACAGGTCGTGACGCCGGACATCGTGAGGGAGACGAGATGGTTCAAATCGCCGTATGTGGGCGTTGACAGTTTCAGAGTGCGGAAACAGATATCGTAAAGGGCCTCGTTATCGATACAGTAGGTTTCGTCGGTATTCTCAACAAGTTGGTGTACGGAAAGAGT